TAAATTAATAAAAGTCTATCTACATACAGCAGATATAGGGAACATAATAATTGTTCTATTTTGCATTCTCAAGCTGCTTGCCATTATTTTCAAGGAACCAAAACTGTCTCTTCTTCCGCATTTTGACCCCGTTGCAAGGCACGGGTATAGCGGCTAGTACTGTATATAAATGTATAGGATGAGGTTTCTAGCCAAAAAAACATCCAGATATTCAATATAAAATATCTGTTTGTTAAAAAAGTTGTATCAAAATTTACACCACGGGTTTTCAATAATACGCTAAAATTGTTATCTTTTTATCAGACTATGCTGAGACAAAATTTAAATAAAAAAAAAATTTTAAACGTTTTGAAGTTGAATTTTTTCTTTTGTACTTATTAATAGAGCACTTAGGCTTATTGTTAACAAATAGTTTTTGTAAAACACTGCATTGTATCATATCATATAACGAATTAATCTTTTAAAAGTATAACTGTATATCAAACACCAATCACGTAATCGATTAAGGGAAAATAGATTTGCTAAGATTCTAATTTTGTCTTTTATTAATAGAGTTAAGAAAGTAGTTCACATTTATTATACATTTTATACTCTGTTTATAAAATAAATTTATACTTTTGTCTACGATAATAATTTTTCCTGTAATATAAACACATAGTAATATTATCCTACTAATACCCTACTAATATTATAAATGTGAAAGTATGGATGTTTGTGTATAACTCTGAAGTTCTATGATTTGAGAACTACTGACTGATTGACCTGACATTTTGCAGAGAGATACTTGATAGTCTTTATAAACACATAGGCATATTAAGGTTGTGAAAATCCTATAGGGCTATTATACCCCACAGGGTTTCTAAGTTTTCATGTTATTCTTATGAGGATTCATATTTAAATACCCCAGCCGCAGCTAACCTAAGCAAATTTCCATTTACCTGGCTGGATTTCCACAAAAATATTTAATAAAAATTATCAGATTTATTTCCTTTTGAGATAATATTAATTGTAGTAAGTACTTAGGTTTGTTACTACAGGGAAGATTATGAGGTATGTTTTTTTTATTGTAATGTTGATAGCTTCGTATGAAATAAACAGAATTTCTAAATTTCGTTAAAATATATCCATAAGGCCCCGTTTATGCACCAAGAGCGGGAGCGGTAGCGATTTCTAACACCATTGGGTTAAATGGGGCTGTTTATGCACCAAGAGCGATAGCGATAGCGGTTGACCTCCCGCTGCGGTTTCTAATTCGCCCGCTGTGTAGTTAGAAATCGCAGCGGTTGCTTGGGATAGAGCGGTTTTCAACTACATTGAGTCAAATGGGACTGTTTATGCATGGTGGGAGCGGGAGCGGCTGAAGCCAGGGTTGCCAACTTGACGCACGCGCATGTGCACTTAGGACAAATAGTTGTGTTAATTATTTGGCAGAGTTTGAGTTGGCAAGACTGTGTCCCCCTTCCATTCTCCTTTAACCAACCGCTACCGCTATCGCTCTTCGTGCATAAACAGCCCCATTCATAGGTTCATAAACGGGGCCTAAACAAGCTAACTACAACAGTTTATTTATTCTCCATAAGAATAACATGGGAATTTTAAATTTACAAAATAGGAGGCATTCCTTGGACATAACATGGAAATAGTAAAGGCCCCAGAATGGAGCCTTGAGGAACTCTATGTGTAATACCGGTAGTTAAAGTTTCTGATCTATACCTGGTTAGTGTATTTTTGTTTTTTGACATTATTTCTACATATTGCACTCTTTCTGAAAGATATGACCTAAACCAATTTAAAGAAGTGTTAAAAATATCTACAGCTTTAAATTTATGTAAAAGAACTTCATGAGAGATTTTATCGAATGCTTTTAATAAATCCATAAAAATACCAACTACGTTATTTCCTTTGTCAACAGCATCAACAATAATTTCTGAAAAATTAAAAAGAGTAGTAGTAATAGATTTACTCTTATGAAAACCATGCCGTTGTTTGTCAAAGAGATTGTTATTATGAAGATGATGAAAAAATCTAGTATAAGAGTAAATTTAAAGAGAACCGCGAAAGGTATCTTAAAACTAGTCTACCAGTTTTAATAAAATCCTTATTTAAAAAAAAATGTTAGTGATACATTTAATGCATTTCCATAAGAAAACAATAGAGTGCTCTGCAGACATCTAATCGGTCAAGTCATAAAATGCGAGGGCTAAGAATGTGATAAAATAAATAAATATACATATACATATTATAGAAGAAAAGTAAGTGATTAAAGGGTAGAGATCTGGATGGGTGATTGTGCGAATTGAGAGGTGATGGTGGGCAATGGTGTGGGTGGGTGAGCGTGAAACAAAATGATAAATTTTTCTTAGAGCTTAAAATCCTTGTTTAGACACTAATATTCAGGCCTTTGAAGCACTCTCAGCGCTTATCGATTGTTTATATATGAATCTAAAAGCTGTTCCATGCTATCAAACCTGCTCTTTTAAGCCTAAGTTAACTCCAACACTTGTGTTGTTACTGTCTCAGAGAAATGATAGCTTGTAATTGTGAGTTTTCCTAAGGTTCTTTAACCTAAAATATCAAATCTTCACATTTAATGGAATATTGAAAACCCCTTTTTATATTATTTACATTGTTTTACTGTACCTGTAACCGAACATATCTTTTCAGTGAAGTTTGTGGTCTTTAAAATGATTTACATCTTGTCCTGTGTTTTTATTTAAAAATGTTTGTACATCCCATACTGGTACGTGATTTGAAAATTTAACTGATACATGTGTGTCTACAGTAGTGTAAACCAATATCATAACCTAGGTGTTGAGAAAATACCTTAAACCTGTAAACGATTTTGTTACCGTAGTAAAAGCTTCAAAACTTTTAGCTAGTTTCTCCTTTAGGAATAAGCTATTACCGTAGTACTCATAGTAAGACCTGGACCCGGGATCAATTTCTTTTTTGTTTTGAGGTCCCTAGAGACCAAAAACGCCATCCGTTCAAATTCATATATATATATTTATAATATGTGTCCGTAAGCGCGATAACTCGAGCAAAAATCATCCGATTTTGATGAAATTTGGTACAAACGTGTAAACCTACGTTTATTCGAACGAGTTCGCAAACCAGCATGATCGGTCTATGGGAACAGGGGTTTATAGGGCAAAAATTGGTTTTTCCTATTTTTGACCCTAAAAACTTAAAATTTAGCATTTTCATTCCACACCATTTTGTAGAGCTTAAAAAAACAAATAATTTAGTATATTGGAGCGTTATTATGCGCCTATTGGTTACAGAGAAAATTCCAAAAAACTGTAAATTTAAAATTCCCATGTTATTCTTATGGAGAATAAACTGTTGTAGTTTGCTTGTTTATGATCATATTAGGAAAATGCATTCATTTAATACTAAACTTTTAACATTTTACAAAAAAACTCCTTTTTACCCTCCCTGTTACAGCAAACCTAAGTACTCGTTAAACTAATGCCATTTAAATAGGGACTAAATGTAATATTTTAAAGGAGACAATTTAGTGTAAATCCAATCAGGCAAATGGAAATTCGCTTAGTCTGCAGGTTTACTGTGGCGGTGGTATTTTGTACTGTATGACAGCCAGTATTTTCTTTCAAAAATATATATACTATTAGCTTAGCCCATTGTGGCTTTGCTCACAAAAATTTAAGTTAAACATGTGTGAGCACTTGTTAAACTAATATAATGACAAATCTACTCGTCCATCCCTGCAGATGTGGACGTATTCAGCAGAAGTTCGCACATTTCAAACATATTTTTCATGAATACTGAGATAGGTAATCCTTACTGTCACTAGTGTTATACTTAGGGTACTAGAAGCCCTAGGCCAAAATTACCCAAGCGGCACTGCAATCGCCATGAAATCGTGAAAATCTTCTGCAATCATGGGGACATTTTCATTGCTATCCGCAATCGTGGAAAATAATTAGTTTTAGAAAATATAAGCTCAATTTTTGTTCAAAAAAGTTTTTTTAGTACAAAATGCTGCGGCCATCAAAAATCCAGCAGTGACTACAATCAGTGGCAGTCCCAGGCGGAGGGGTTGGAGGGGATAACCACCCCCCCCCCCCAAATATTTTATATTTTGTTAGCTAACATAAATACTATTAGTTGGAACATGTTTTAAAGCTCAAATACATTTAAAAATACGTTTTTAGGCTTAAAATTCCACATTTTTGTGGCGGACCCAGGACCCCACTTTTTTAAGGGATAATCCGTACCTCCCAGACCCCCTGTTGGTCAACTTCCCCCCCCCCTGAAATGAAGTCCTAGGACCGCCATGTACTACAATAACAATATAGGAGTTTTTATAGGAGGGGGGCATTGGAATTTTGTTTTCTGTACTTTCAATAGATCAACAATGTAAAACTACAATTTTACTTAAATTAATAGATAAATGAATGTATCTAATAAAGTATGATCTTTTTCAGAAATGACAATCCATGAGCCCAAGCATAAGAAAAAGTTTGTGGCAAGGAAATTAATAGAGGTAATCTCCGACATAATTGTTTGAACAAGAAGAAACTTCAAAGAACAAATGAAGTCAGTAATTAACTAGAATGTAAAACTAGAATTTAGGCTAAATTATAATTATTGTAAAAAATATGAAGAAAAACTGTTTTGATTTAAGAGTTAACATGATATTACGTATCTTAAAATACTAGCCTAGAGAAAACAGAAAATCTCAAATATGTTGTAAAATCTCTAATATGCATAATATGAGTAAGAGGCAATTTAAAGTGTAATTAGAATGCTATGTATATGTAACTGCTAAACATTTAGCTAATCCAAACAAGGAATATATTTAAATTAACATACAAGGTTTTCTAACTAGTTGAGCCCTCTTATTAGTTACTAGATTATCTGATAAGCCAGAGAGGGTTAAATTAGATGTTATAAAACATACTAAAATGCTTACTCTCAAATGTCTATTTTGCGGAAAAATCTGTTCAAAAAAATGGTTAAAAGCTCATATATTATCACATACTGGCGAGCATCCCTTTAAATGTTTGGCATGCGAAAAGACCTTTGCCCAAATACATCAAATAAAGAGTCACTTGTTGAAACACTCTGGGAAGTGTCCTTACAAATGTACTACATGTGGAAAATCCTTTGCATCAATTAGCAATATGAAGAGACACTCATTGGTCCATTCAGGAGCGAGACCTTATAAGTGCAATACATGTGGAAAAATGTTTACATCTGAAAGCTATATGAAGATACACTCATTGGTCCATTCAGTAGAGAGACCTTATAAGTGTTCTATATGTGGAAAATCCTTTGCGGCCAAAATGTATTTAAAGAGTCATACATTAATTCATACTGGAGAAGAGAGACCTTTTAAGTGCAATACATGTGGAAAATCCTTTAAATTGAAAAGTAATTTGAATTATCACACAAAGAGTCATTTAGGTGAGAGACCTTATAAATGCAATATTTGTGGAAATTCTTTTCTGACCAAAAATGCAATGAAGATTCATACAAGGGGTCATACTGGAGAGAGACCTTTTAAGTGTTCTACATGTGAAAAATATTTTGTGACAAAATACGTTTTGAAGAAACATCACACAATGGTTCATACTAAAGAGAGGCCTTATAAGTGTTCTACATGTGAAAAATCTTTTGCAAGGAAAGACATTTTGAGGGGTCACTACAAAAGGATTCATACCAGAGAGAGACCTTATAACTGTTCTACATGTGAAAAATCTTTTGCAACAAAAAGTGAATTGACGGGTCACATATTTATGTATCACAAAAGGGTTCATACTGGAGATATGAGAACTTATAAGTGTTCTATATGTGAAAAGAGTTTTGCAAGGAAAGACGTTTTGAAGGGTCATCTCACAAGGGGTCATGCTGGAGAGAGACCTTATAAGTGTTCAACATGTAACAAATCTTTTGTGACGAAAGAGTATTTGAAGTTACATCACTCAAGGGTTCATACTGGAGAGAGACCTTATAAGTGCTCTACATGTGAAAAATCTTTTGCAGCAAAACTAACTTTGAAGGATCATCACACAAGGGTTCATACTGGAGAGAAACCATATAAGTGCTCTACATGTGAAAAATCTTTTGCGACAAAAGATGATTTGAGGGCTCACATAGGGGTTCATACTAGAGGGAAGAGACCTTATAAGTGTTCTATATGTGAAAAGAGTTTTGCAAGGAAAGACGTTTTGAAGGGTCATCTAAGGGTTCATGCTGGAGAGAGACCTTATAAGTGCTCTACATGTGAAAAATCTTTTGCAACAAAACTAGCTTTGAAGGTTCATCACTCAAGGGTTCATACTGGAGATAGACCATATAAGTGCTCTACATGTGAAAAATCTTTTGCGACGAAAGATGATTTGAGGGCTCACATAGGGGTTCATACTAGAGGGAAGAGACCTTATAAGTGTTCTATATGTGAAAAGATTTTTACAACCAAAGGCGCTTTGAAGGTTCATTACACAAGGGTTCATACAGGAGAAAAAGAGAAAAAGAATCTGAATATTACCTTATAATCTGAATGTTAATCTCTTATAATCTGAATGTTGGTACCTTATAAGTTCTCTACACGTGAAAACACTTTTGCAACAAAAGATTATTTGAGGTGTCATCACACAGGAGTTCATGGAGGAGAGAGACCTTATTAGGCACACGTCCACACTCTTGATTCTTTTCATTTGATCAATGAAATACTTAACAATAGTAGTTTTTTTTGTTTTGTTGATACAATATTATTAAGTTGTAGGTACTTAAAAAAAAAATTGACTTAAGCCTGACTTATTTTTCATTGTTGGGACCCATTACTCAAGATGTAATGCTAGGTCAAGGTTATTACATGTTTTTACAAATATCAGTATTTTATCTTGAACTGTTTTTTCTTTAGTTGTATCCTACAGGTTTCAGCAAATTTCTCTTTTAAGGAAACAAGCTATAAATGTTGGTAGATGGCAAGGTAACAGTGAGACCTGGGTTAGATTAACTTTTTGTTTTGTTGACCTCAGAGATAACAAAAACGGTATTGTTAAACTGTCACGTTTTTTAATTGTATATAGATGTATAGATGAGGCTCCTAGCACATAAAACAACCAGATAATCAATATAAAATACCTGTTTGTCAAAAAAGATTTTTTACCAAAATTAATACACGGGTTTTCGACAATATGTTAAAATTGTTATCTTTTTTAGCGAATTTCCCATATAGAGAATAAGCTATTACCGTAGTACTCATGGTAAGACCTGGACGCGCGACCGTTTTTTTTTTTTTCGTTTTGAGGTCCCTAGAGGCCAAAAACACCATCCTTTCAAATTCATATATATATATTTATATATATATATTTATATATATATTTTGTTATTGTATACATCAATGAGGGCTACTTTAAATGTTATTAAGCAAATCAAAATACCACAGTACCCTAAAAACATTTTATTTTATATTACTTACATGTTTCGGACATTAATGCCATGATCACAGTATAGTATATAACCATTAGTTTCTCATTAACAACATTTCAATAAACAACAACATTAACAATAAACATTCAATAGAAACTAATGGTTATATACTATACTGTGATCATGGCATTAATGTCCGAAACATGTAAGTTATATATATATATATGTTAGAACGATAACTCGAACAAAAATTCTCGATTTTGATTAAATTTGGTACAAACGTGTAAACCTACGTTTATTCGAACGAGTTCGCGATCCAGCATGATCGGACCATGGGAACGGAGGTTTACAGGGGGTTTTATGGGGTAAAAATAGGTTTTTCCCATTTTTGACCCAAAAAACATAAAATTTAGCAATTTCTTTCCAAACCATTTTTAGAGCTTAAAAAATCAAATAATTTAGTATATTGAAGCGTTGTTATGCGCCTAATGGTTACGTAGAAAAATCCAAAAAATTGTAAATTTAAAATTCCCATGTTATTCTTATGGAGAATAAGTAAACTGTTGTAGTTTGCTTGTTTATGAACATATTTTGATCAAATTTGGAAAATGTTTTTATTTCTTACTAACTATTAACACATAGTTTTTGTAATACACTGCACTGTTATTATATCATAAAAGGAATTAATGTTTTAAACTATAACTGTATATCAAAAACAAACAAGGTAATCGATTAAGGGAAAATAGAGTTGCTAAGATTATAATTTTGTTTTTTATTAATAGGTTTAAGAAAATAGTTCACATTTATTATACATTTTATGTAAAATAAATTTCTAGTTTTGTCTACGATGATTATTTTTCCTGTAATATAAATTTTTATAGTAATATAATCCTACTAATATTATAAATGTGATAGTATGGATGTTTGTGTATAGCTCTGAAGTTCTATCATGTGAAAACTACTGACTGATTAAGCTAACATTTTGCAGAGAGATACTTGATTGTCTTAAGAAACACATAGGCATATTAAGGTTGTAAAAATCCTATAGGATTATGCCCCACAGGGGTTCTAAGTTTCCATGCTATTCTTATGAGTATTCTTATTTAAATATCCCTGCCGCATCAAACCTAAGCGAATTTCCATTTACCTGGCTGGATTTTCACTAAAATATTCCCTAAAAATAGGTTTATTTCCTATTCAAATAACATTACTTTTAGTAAGTGATTTTGAGGTGTGTTTTTTTTATTGCAATGTTGATAGCTTAGTATGATATAAATAAAATTTCTAAATTTCGTTAAAATATATCCATAAACAAGCTAACTACAACAGTTAACCTATTTTCCATAAGAATAACATGGAAATTTTAAATTTACAAAATTGAAGGCAGTCCTTGGACATAACATAGAAACAGTAAAGGCCCCAGAATAAAGCCTTGAGGAACTCCATGTTTAATAGTAAAGTTTCTGATATATATCTTTATCCAAAATCTATAACAAGTATGGACCTGGTTGGCGGATTTTGGATTTTTGACATTATTTCTACATATTGCACTCTTTCTGAAAGATATTATCTAAACCAATTTAAAGAATTGTTAAAAATACCTGAAGCTTTTTAGTAAATTTATAAAAATATCAACTATGTTATTTACTTTTTCAACAGCATCAATAACAGTTTCTGAAAAATTAAAAAAGTAGTAGTAGTAGTAGATTTACCCTTATGAAAACCATGCTGTTGTTTGTCAAAGAGATTGTTATAATAATGATGATCAACCAATTGATTATACATTAGCGAATTTCCGAATAGTGAAGAAACTATTACTGTAGGTGGCACGGTAAGACCTGGGCCCGGGACCAATATACTTGCTCAAAATTTATATATATATATTTTATATATATATCCGTGAGTGTGATAACTTGAATAATTTTTTTTTATTTTGATAAAATTTGCTATAATAAGATGTAGGGTGCAATAAACTTAATGAGTTTGCGAATCAGCATGATTGGACCACATGGGATTGGGGTCTATGGGGGAGGGGTTTATGGGGTAAAAATTGGATTTTCTCAATTTTGACCCTTAAAACATAAAATTCCCAAATTTATATTTAAACCGTTTTAAAGAGCATAAAAACAAATAATTTAGTATATTGAAGTGTTTTTCTAAGGTTATTGGCTACAGAGTTTATTTAAAAAAAAATTAAATTTAAAACTCCCATGTTATTCTTATGGAGAATTGTTTTAGTTTGCTTGTTTATGGATATATTTTTATCAAACTTGGCCAATTTATTTATTTTTTACTATGCTATTCTTATTTTGCTAAAACACACTTTATTACCCTTCCTGTAGCAGCATACCTAGGTTTGTTAAGCCTCATGTTATTTATATATTTAATTGAAAATCCAACCAGGTAAATAGAAATTCGCTTAGTTTGCAGGTTTGCTGCGGCGGGGGTTTTGTAAATGGTCAAATGGGTATAATTCTAGAAATGTTTAAGTAGCCAGGGAAAATATCAGTTATTAATGACCTGTGTGGTTTTAACAATGATTTTCCTATGTATTTGAATACATAGTTCTAGGGGTACTCATGACCAGCAGATGATTTGTTTTTTAAACTTAAAATTATTTTTTCTATCTCATCTTCATCCACCGGCCTTCATTTGAAAGGAATTATGATAGTTTTTTGATCCAGATAGCTACTTATATTTTAATCGTCTTTCGATTAAATATTATTTGGGGTACTGTTTAAAAAATTGTCTAATACCTCAACAAAGTAATTGTTAGAACAGTTTGAGATGCTCAGAGGATCTGCTTTTACCTAATCGTTAATTCTAATTTCATGAGGAGAATCCTTAATACATTTAGATTTATTACCAGTTTCAAAATTAATTATCTCCCACGGTTTCTTACTAACATTTTCTGATTTATTTATGAGTTGATTGTAAAAAGTTTTTGTCGCCTTGATCAATCTACTTTCATAATTTGTATTTAAGAGTTTACAATGATACATCATTTCTATATTACCAGACATTTTTGCTTATTTTGTAAGCTCTGCAATATCTTTTTGTTATGTTAATAAATCCTGGTTTATCCCATTAAATTTACTTTTATTCACATTTTTTTACTCTCTTTCTAGGAAAAAACTAGATCAATTATATTGGAAAATAATACTATTAAACAATCTATACACATATATATGGAAACCCAATTGACAATCAGTTTAAAATAATTGTTTTGACAATAGTTACAATTGACTGAATAGTTTGATTTGATAGTTTTTAATGTTTAAACAAATGTTACGAGTTACGTATTATAGTATTCAGCTACAGTTAGCCTACAATAAATATTTTTTGCTGTATAGTTTAGGATACATTCTTAATTTGTTTTATACAATACAATTATAAGTATCACATTGACATTAATCAATACATTAAGTTCCATCCACATAAAATTCATTGACTGACACATAAATGAAATCTACCTTATTAGCTAATAAAAGAAGTAGTCAAAGTTATTATGGAATTCCATACAAAAAATGATGTTAAATTGATGGATTAATGTGACTAATAAATACTTATCTTTTTCAGAAATGATAATCCAAGAGCCCAAGTATAAGAAAACAGAAATTGAGTTTATAGCAAGGAAACTAATAGAATTAATCTCTGACATAATTGTTTGAACAACAGCTCAAAATAATACTTATACTAAACTTAAAAGAACAAATGAAGTAATTAATTAACTAGAATGTACAACTAGAATTTAAATTATAATAATTGTAAAAAATATGAAGAAAAGCTTATTAATTCAATAATTAATATGCTATTATGTATCTTAAAATACTAGAGAAGACAGAAAAATCCCTCAAGTATGTTGTAATATCTCTGATATGCATAAAAGTTTTATGAGCAAGAGACAATTTAAAGTTTAACTAGAATGCTATATGTATAACCGCTAAACATTTAGCAAATCCAAACTAGGAAGATATTTCAATAGACATACAAGGTTTTCTAACTAGTTTGGCCCTCCGAATAGTTACTAGCTTAACTGATAAACAAGAAAGGGCCAAATTACAAAAGTACCAAAACACATTAAAATGCATACTATCAAGTGTCTATTTTGCGGTAAGATCTGTTCAAAACAATTGTCAAAAGCTCATATATTATCACATACTGGCGAGCATCCCTTTAAATGTCTGGTATGCGAAAAGACCTTTGCCCAAATACATCAAATAAAGAGACACTTGTTAAATCACTCTGGGAAGGGTCCTTACAAATGTACTACATGTGGAAAATCCTTTGCATCCAAAAGCCATATGAAGAGACACTCATTGGTCCATTCAGGAGCAAGATCTTATAAGTGCAATACATGTGGAAAAACGTTTACATCTGAAAGCTATATGAAGATACACTCATTGGTCCATTCAGTAGAGAGACCTTATAAGTGTTCTATATGTGGAAAATCCTTTGCGGCCAAAATGTATTTAAAGAGTCATACATTAATTCATACTGGAGAAGAGAGACCTTTTAAGTGCAATACATGTGGAAAATCCTTTAAATTGAAAGGTAATATGAAACAACACACAAAGAGACATTCAGGTGAGAGACCTTATAAATGCAATATTTGTGGAAATTCTTTTCTGACCAAGGATGAAATGAAGATTCATACAAGGGCTCATACCGGAGAGAGACCTTTTAAGTGTTCTACATGTGAAAAATATTTTGTGACAAAAAACGTTTTGAAGAAACATCACACAATGGTTCATACTAAAGTGAGACCTTATAAGTGTTCTACATGTGAAAAATCTTTTGCAAGGAAAGACATTTTGAGGGTTCACCACATAAGGATTCATACTAGAGAGAGACCTTTTAACTGTTCTTTATGTGAAAAATCTTTTG